ACACCAGTATCGACGACCTCGATGCCGTAAGGCAGCGTGGAGGTGAGTATCTGGGTCACGTGATACGGCGTTGAGACAAAGATCTCCTTGTTATTAGACGACAGCGATATGCTGATGCTGTTCGAGCTGATATAAAGCATGCAGTTGATCAGAACAACGGTAACGTTAAAACTATTGACCGAGGCAAAGACGGTGACGTTCCTGTTGGAAGAAGTGGTCATCAGTTCAGCACCTTGGATTACCAGCCTAGAGTGCTGCACACTTGGAAGTGCTTGCACGATAATTTCACTGTGGATAAGGGTAGATGCCTTCAAGAAGAGATGTAGGTAGCTGAAAGTAAGGTTGCTAGCACCGGATATGACCTCGATCAGGCTGCTGTTGGTTGCCACCATCTTGCTAACACGTAACAACGAATGGGTGGACGTGAGGTACGCCTTCAGAGTTCCTCCTGCCAATTCGAGCACCGGAGAATCGACCGAAACGTTGACCACCGACGATGAAGGGTCGATCTCGACATTCGAGCGATTTGCGTCAACCTTGATCTGCAACGTTCTCTCGCGAACTTTGATTATCGATCGTCCCGATGATACGTTGATCACCTGCGTTACAGTGATATTCGACTCCCTAGCGTCCACGATCACGTTCGAGTCTTGGATCGAGGACAGGTTCAGTTCTTCCCTCAGACTGCTTCCATCGCTGTTCCTTTTCTTCAAACGTTTCTGTGGTGAAGGTGGCCGATGGTCCTCATCGTTTCCTAATGCACGGACATGACCTCGACTGTCGATTATCCATGACCGTCTGCTGTAACACAAGTTGACCAGCCGTGAATCCAAGAACTTGTCATTGCGGTAGAGTTTTTCATCACTATCTACAAATACTGAAGAAGGCCGTTCATCGGCTTCAGTATCCAAACTGACTGTCGTCAGCAGCACCATGAATGAACACAACACTGAGCAGCATTTCATCACACAAACTATCGTTTTGTAGTTCCTCACCGAAAAGTAGTCGTAAAGCATTCCATTGCAACAGATCCATTTCCCTCTCGACTAACCAAATCCATAGTCTAGATCCCAATGCACAGACGGTGTATCCGACAAGCGTGCATATTTCTTGGTCTACACACACGGAAACATTGTGTACCGGCTGTTGTCATGGATATATCGATAACTCTCTTCACCGGCAGCTCCAAAAAGTCGTCATGTTTACATGTTGCCAGTCCATTTCTTCATTCACATACGTTTTGTATCGACCGATCAGTTCAAATCATATTCTGATCAAAAACTTAGATTTCTACAGACATGATGGTTTTTGGTCGTCCCCAAAATACAGCGACGTATTCTTGACTATTGCACAGCATAGCAGCCTTAAGAGGCCACAGAGAAAACGCCATGATTCTACCTTACGCGAATGCACGAACGATCACACTAGCACTCTATAATGTTTTTACTGTTCACAAGTCAACGACTAGCTAATCGTTTCTAAAATGGTTGCCCCAAAGTAATGTTAAGGTATGTGTGTACAAGCGCGCGGAGGGGACGGATTCCGTGTTCAAAGGTTTTAGCGATAAAGATAATTTTTGGGATTTAAACTGGATATCTGGGAATTTTGAAGTCGCTCTTACAATGTCACCGACAACCATGCTTTTGTTGTGATATATTTTAATCTGATCAAAGAGGAAATAACACACTTTGGCCACCTAACGTAAAAGCCTGGAAGATTCGGCACGGTAACACTGGTTAAACATTAGATCGGTACTGTCATGCTTTAGAAGAGAGCATTTATTATTGTTACGTCAACTTCGTGATCCAAAATGTGTCCAATTGATTAAACCGTAGGAAAAAGTACGACAATTTATTCGTAAACTGTTATTCAAGCTCAAAATACAGCAAAACGTAACATATTATGATCAGTGATAAACCTTTACCGACGTTTCGGTTGATATTCCACTGATCTTGTTCACATGGGGTTGGCTATTATCGCTGTTTGAGCAGATGAAGGTAAATTGTCGACAGCAATTTTATCCCATCAGCCTCATGGTCATAGTACTTGCTGACAAGGTCTCAAACGCCATTTCTATTCACCCTGTGGCCAGTCTTGTGTTGTTGAAAGTATTAGTAATGAGGGGTGTAGCCTTTAAAAGAGGTTATGGATCCTAAATTCAGTTTTCACTGAAGCTAGACCAGCTGGCCTAGCACAAGGCTGCATTTATTGCTTAAGTGGTCATTTCTAGTTTCGGTTTAGAGTTTAATCGATTTTCAGGAAAACAGCATAAAATGACAGTACAATGTAACGTTAGTATCGGTCAGCATATAACCAAGAACAACATTTTTCGTTTAGAACAACATAAAAAAAATCTGGTTTTGACTTTTCGACGTATTCACGCGATGAGGAGTATCGGTCAAAGAATGACAGGGCTGTGTACGTCAAGTGCGAGGTTTACAAAGTTATTTATTCCTCGAAAGACTCCAAATCTCTAAACAGACCCGTAGAGCATGGAGTTCAGTTATTTTCCTGTGACAAAACTACCTGAATCATTGCATCTGTATTAATACTTTCGAATGATCATCAACAATCGTGTAAGCGCACTGAAAGCTGAAGCGCTTAAGCATGTTTACTCGACGGCAAGGTTCTAGAGAGAACAGCTCAGGTATGCTATTACTCGAGTACCGTTCGAGTATATAAGTAGTTTAACAGTCCGTTTAACCGAAAGCTTGCCTTCGAACGAAACATGTTCAATGGTCAGGGATTCTGTAGGCGTCATCGACCTGAATCAAAACTTGGTCATTCACTTTGCTTCGTAAGAATGCGGTAACGTCTTCGATAGAAGTGCGTTCTCGGCCTTCGTCGCTGCACAACTTCAACAACTTATGAATACGTTCAGCAGTCAGACTCCCGATATTCTTCAGTAGGCTGGAGATATACGGCCAGTAGACCTGAAAATAATATAACTGTAGCTTTACCAGACGCTTCGACCCTCTGATCTTGGTCCATCATACACCCACCCAATTACAGACACTGTTAAAAGTACTACAATGGCGTGTGTTTCTGGGTGTGAGTCACTAAGTGAATTAACGAAGACAGATACGAGTCCAGTTGAAATCTGGTTTTAATTATACCATTTATTCTCATGTAAAAAAAGTATTTTTGTGATAGTGTCGATCTAAAAGTGACAAGTAGCGTCAAGCTGCTACGCATTCTTTGTCGAATTTTTAACATCACTCAATAATTTACAGATTACTTATGCTGAAACTAGAGTACTTGGGCAAATACTTGAATATTTGTATCCATATTATTATACACTTCAACAAAGCCACTATTTATACTAATTCCTATTTACTATAATGTTAAATTTTTTATTTTGCATATATCCACTATTACTAAGGACTGTATATATAAACTATACCAATAAAAAATAATTAAATCAATACCCAGTTAGATTTAAAAATGCTTGACTACTTTACCCATACACTTATACCATTACTTACAATCCAGAAGCTACAGTTATCAAGAGTTACCTCGAGATTTGGGGCCTTGTTTGTAAAGTCAGTATCAGTCAACAAATCCTCCTCCTCTTCATCGAAGAACGACGTGATTTTTCTTTCTTCTGACGATGGCAAAGAGCTTACCAAGCACCACACGTCTTTTTGGCATTCACGAAGAACCCCCGCACAACTCCACCACGTAATGCGATTCCTGAGGTAAACGGAAGACACCTTCAAACGGTTGCAGAGATCATCAAGAGACCAGACTTCTAAAATAACGATATGCAATAAAATACTATTTATGACTCAAAATTGTTCAAACACTTCTGAGGACACAGAGACGAAAGCACGTTTATTAATACTCTTAACCCTTGAGCAGGAGAACATTGATATTACTGCCAAAAAATAACGTCTATCGATTTCACGGGTAACGACAAAGTTATTCTCCACAAACGCAATTCATTTCGCAAGCAAGTGCTAGGATAGCATAAAATAGTCACTAGTTCTTCGTCACCTGCCAAAATGACCCCGTAGACGGCATAGTTCCGTATAACCCATTGGAATGGAATTATCTATATTACTGCTTATCGGCCATTCGACAAGCTAAACTAAGGGTACATGGTTTAACACACGTAATATGAAACTAAAAGACGACCATCTCAATTTCACTGAGTCAATTGGCAATGCACCAGTAATTAAAGTCAGTGCATTATGACTGATTACTCAAACTAATTAATATCAAGCAGTGGCAACAAGTGGCTGTGTAAGAACTGATTAGTTTCAGATGGTTGATCGTAAGCTTTGAGTAAAAAGATGACTGGAGGTATTAAGAAAATCTGTGAAAAAGCTCCTTAACTCTCGCATGAAGATTTAAGACATTTGCGCAGATGCAGTAGCTATATTGAATTTATGGTGAAAAAACCGTGAGAAACATTCGCATTATAACGTGTGACGGTAGAAAATATGCCTGACAAAGGAACATTTATAAAGATGCTCTATAAATGACTATACAGTAGGTAAAATTTCTGACTTAGAAATGAGAAACTATAAAAGAGGATAGCTGCTCATAAGATACTGAGGTTTGTTAGCTAAT